AGTTTGGGATCCTAGAGTGAGATGTGTAAGATATATATTATTTTATATTATACCATAAAAATAAACCAAACGCAAAAGCCTAAAGATTGGTATAATAAACTTATTTTAAAATAGACAAACAATATACTAAGAAAATAAAATAAATATTTAGATACTTACTGTTTGTAGTATAAGTAATTGTATACATTTTATGAGTTAACTACTGTCTACACTGAAATAGGATACATTACAATACCTGTGGCTATAATGCGCCCGAAGAATTCGCGTAAACCATAATATGTCGCGACTCTTTATTACTGAAATATGAGTAACATTCTTATATACACCTAAGTAAGACAGAGATAGTATTATATTTTCATCTTACTAATAATTGTTGAGCAGTGGAGTCTGGCAGGGTTGTGTGCTTGCGTTCGCTTTGTTTGGGATTATTTTTTCTACACTGAAGATTGCTTTTGGTGGCTCTACTCAAGGTATATGTGGTGGGTAGGTGGATCCGTGTGGTGACGGATTAAGAATACGAAGTGTCACCACCACTATTCAACACGTGGGTGTCGTAAGAGCCGACTAAGGGAGCAAACTACGCAGGACAACAGCAATGCAAAGAGAAGGAAAACTTGAAACAAACCCTATACCAACCCGTCTGGCCAGCGTGGTATAGTAGGCCAAAACCTCCTTTCTAAGGAGAAGCCTATGCAGCAGTGGACTGTTATAGGCTGTTGATGATGACTCAAGGCATAAACCTTTACACCAGGTTTGAAGGTAGGTTACTTAATAGATATTAAATAAAGATTTGATGGTAAATGATAAAAATGACATTCGCATTTATATTATTAGTTAGTATTCAATAATGATAAAAGCACTGTGTGTACATTTACCTGTACGACAAAGATCCTTATATAGAAAAATGTAAAAATGCGTTGGATACAAAAATGTAAGTGGTATAGTCCATTAGCTAGATTAGAAACGTGATCGATATGTTTTTTTTTGCATCGAGTGCGATATCAGTATCGCACTGAGGTTCTGTTAGTATACACCAATGTTTGCAGATTTACAATATTTTAAGAATAGACATATTTTTGTGAGGAAAAATATTTTCGTGTTACTCTGTTCTATTTTTTCTTTGCGAATAGAAAAATCGTATGACTTTTCTTAAGGAAATGTCTTTCGCTTTAGTTTAAAGTAAAGGTTTTCTTAAATACAAAATACTATTAAATTGTTTGATTATTAAAAAAGCATTCCATAATAAAAAAACTATTTATACTACCTGAATATAAACTGATTTCAAAGGTATATTATTGTTGTTATCGACAGTACATTAAAAAGTACCGATAATTCTAATTAAATCGATTGTTGAAGCATCAATTACAGCGGTTATATCGATTCGAAACGATTTCGGTCGTACTCCGCGGGGTACTCCAGCTATAGGACAAAAAATGTCTTGAGTACCAGTAGCTTGTAAATTATGGGTACTTTCTTGGTACCAATCATAAAGTTTGATTAATGCTGTTGAGAGCTAATTTTTCATGTAACCTTATATCGGCACATCCATCTTGATTTCTATTGAAATGCAAAACAATATTTGATTTATACAACGTCTTTTGGCTTCTGTGTTAAGATTGAACGATAAAATTTAATCATGTAGGTGTATGTGCGGGAATACTTTATATCCCTTAGGTCGTAGTGTAGTCAGTCGGCAGTAGTGTTGTCAGTTCGATCCCCACATGGAACAACACTTTGTGTGATCCACAATTTTTTCTGAGTTTGTGTGTTTGTTGTGTCCGTTTCATGTATGTTTGTACAGTCTCTCGCATTAAGCATATCCATACACAACGCATAGCATAGCATGCACATAGCATGTCCTCGCGACACAGGATATATGTATGCCTAATGGGAGAGTATAAAAGTAAAAAAATATAGTTTTAAAAAACTAAAAAACACGCTTTCTATAGAAAAACACCCCACGCTTTTTTTCAAATTTATTTTCTATTTTTTAGTTTGGTTTTATATAACTATTTTTTCTTTTTTAAATTAGTGTATTGTCATCGGTCCTCGATATATCTACAAAGTTTAAACGAATTCTGACCATTTAAAGTCAGTCAAAATCACGCCCAAAGGAGTCGGTTACAAACATACAGAGAAACATACAAGTGAAGCTAATATAAAGCGTTTAAAAACAAAATACACAAGCTAAAGTTAGAACCGATCAATTGCGAGTCTGACTCGCGGACCGCGGATTAAGTACGCAAAAAAGGCTTGTAGACAGTTCGTCAACTGAATTTCGAATGGCATTAGATCATCATTAGTATTTTATTAACCCCCAAAGCATAAAGAGGGGTGTTATAAGTTTGATGTGTCTATGTGCCTGGCAGATTTCTTTGTTTGAAAGTGACGTGAACGAAATGGTGCTTAGCTACAATTTGTGAAAATCATCAGCTCATTTCTTAGTCGATGAAGGGATTTAAAATTTATTGTACTGTTATTTTAGTTCGTTTTCCATGATATGGTAACCTTGACCTGATGTCGCAGCTAAACCTTAGCTTGATGCTGGTGTTTTAAATTTTTAATTTGTTTCAGTAAGTTATGACTAAATATAATCTAATAATATATCTCACACATCTCACACAAGGTTGTCTGATCCCAAACTAGGCAGAGCCTGTACTATGGTAACCAGACATACATATTTATTTTTTAAATAGATACATATTATAGACAAATAACACCCAGACACAGAACAAATGACCGTGCTTATCACAAAATATTTGTCCTGGGTGGGAATCGAACCCACGACCTCCGGTTTAGTCATCAGGGTCACTAACCACGAGACCAACAGGCCAAAATATAACCACACTTTAACAACAGTGTTTATACGTTATTTATAGATTGCAACAAATAACGATTGTAACTCTTCCATTTTCCTATACGATAAACAGACTATAACAGTTATTCAAACACAAGAATATAGTAACGTAATACAAGAGGCAAAAGTTGAAAACAAATATCTCAACATAACGTAATCTATCTATATATTTATATAAAGTCGAGCAAACAGTCCGCTGGTGCCTGCCTCTGCTTCGTACCGGTCGACCTGATGCTAATTTAGCGCGCCGACTGTACTTTATTGATGGGAAATCGTTTCTATTGCCTTCATAAAAGTTGCCATTAAATAAAAAAGCGGTGTAATCTGTGGGGATTTTCGGTGGGGGTGGGATTTATGGTGTTACTATTTACGGTAGGTGTGTGGGTGTGGGGAAGTGCTTTGAGTGCGTGAATTGAGTTTTGATTTTACAGTGATTTGTTTTTTTTTTATGAAAAAATGTAATCCTTTTTTTTACGTTTGTGGTGATTTTTTGGGTAAATATTTTTCTTATATCATCAGCAAACCCGTGTTATTAAGAAATGTTGTGTTTAATCTATATATGTAACTCAAGCTTAATGAAATAAACGTATGTGTAAATGTTGCTAAAAGGTAGATCGTTTGTCAACATACTATGCAACGACGATACCGATAATGTATCGGTTTGTAAAATTTCATCTAAATCAATCCAGCCATTTACCCACAAACACACATTTTTGTCTTATTTATTCGTGTGGAAACCCACACGCGTCATCACCTTACCGGGTACCGCTCACGGTAAAGTAGTACATCGGAATCGAACCGACATAACCACATAGTGTCTGTTTCGTGTGAGTCTATTGCAAGGGAGTTGGGTATACCCTAGAAAGTCCGAGAGAGCCTTGGCAGACCTTGGCCGCCATAGGGAGCCACAGCATTGCGACACAAACGCAATTAAACATCTATATGTTGAAATAGCATGTGAGTTTTTAATATATCTAACCAGTTTTTTCAAACAGACACCATGGTACTATTAAAAATATATATATTATCAATATACGACTAAACTAGCATCTAATAATTAAATTCAAAGCGTCAGCCACTAACAGAATATTACGTTACATCTGTACTAGATTACTTCAAAGTACATCTAAACAACATCGATTACATCAAAATCGAATGCGAGTATCGATTCCAGAGAATCGAGAACTCGGTGAGACGGCACATATATTAATACGTTGTAGAGTGCAATAAAATTGGCTGACAGCGTTAAATTAGTGTCGGGAAAGGCATTTATAAGTAATCGAATACATCGGTATGCAAGAATCGATTCTAAGATCCGATTTATTAAATTTTGCACCAACTGCTTGCTTGCTGCGTCTTTATATGGATAGACTAGTTGTTGGTTTTGATTTTTCGTTTATTTTTAAACTTATTCTTAGAACTTTGGAAGATCATATATTTTAAAGTATGAAACATGGTCTTTTGACATAGTTTCAAACGCCACCGTAGGCATACGGTAGAAAGGAAGAAAAAGATGTAATATACTTAAATATACATATGTATGATATATACGTAGATAAGTCATAATGATAAGCTTGAAATATAGAAAAATCTTAGGAAAAAACAATAATGTTGAACCCGTTCTATTCATCTTTAAGATACGTAATTTTCCCACGTATTTGTCGTATAATTACCGACTGCCTTTTAACTGATTTTTTTTTTAAAGTAAAAAAGAGATCCACCCTTATCTTCATCAGTAGATCCTTGTTATTAACCACTAAAGAGTTGAAGTTTTACTAACCATCGCCAGACTTTCTTATCAGAATAGCACCAAGATACGAAATTATAGAATTGTCTTTCCAACTACACACACACATATGACACACACGGTACGACAACTCTAAGAAAGTTAAACTTGACTTGTTTACATAATTGGTAACAAATAAAGCTAATAAAAGCGCGTTAAAAAATAGACCCTGTCACATTTGTCTGACCTACAGCCCTAGACACAATTAATTGTGACTTACGATTGTCGTAGTTGATGGTACTGGGTGTGGTCATGTGGTCATTGACAGCCATTGATTTATCAAGATCGATGAAGACAGAAATAAACCGGTACAAATATAATTTACGATTATTTAATGATTATTTATGATAAGTTACGCTACCACTTACCTTGAAAGTAACTCTTGGTTCGCAGATAGCTGACTGATAGCCTAAGGATCGAGAGTCTGTCCAGCTTACTGAGGATGTTCTGTTCGAAGGGTAAGAGGGAAGCCAGGGTGTCCAGCTCAGCGTTAAGCCTCTCCCGGTGTCGCTTGCTCGGGTTGCTCTTCGTAACTCCGTCTTTTGAAGGTGGTTTGATACTGTAACAAATTTGTTAAGAATTAGTGAGATTTAATTGAAATAATTCGTATTATTAGCTAAAATAATAGTGATGACTTTTTAGTTATAACCAGTTTTAAAAAACTCCCTCTCACCAACCACTAGACTGCTAGTCTAGTGATTGGTGACCATAGAAATCGTAATAATAGTGCCTTATTATAAAGATTTCTATGCTGGTGACCCTTACTTACGAGTCAGAGTAAACTAATTGTACGCAGGATTATTTATTAATTTTTCTATCTTCATCTTCATCAACAGCCTTTAATAGTCCACTGCTGGACATAGTATAACACGCTGGCCAGACGGGTTGGTTTAGGGTTTGTGTCACGTTTTCCTTCTTTTTGCAGTGCTGGTGTCCTGCGTTGTTTTGCGCCCTTAGTCGGCTCTTACGACACCCACGGGATAAATTGGGTTAGTGACATTCCGTATTCTTAATCCGTCACTACACGAACTATTACTATATACATGTATTTAGAAATACATAAATATGTTCATCAGCAGTCTGATTACTAAAGTAAAGGCACTGCATAGTTTGGAAACAAACAGCCGTGTTTGAAATGTGTCAAGTTAATAACATTCTTTCTAGTAAGGATTTACAGATTCCGCATCTAATACTGCTATTTTTTTTAAATCAGTTCTCTTACTGAGTCCTTTTGAAATGACACATTACTGTAACGGTAGCTACGGCTAACTTGCCATTCAGTACGACGGTCACGCGAGCGAGCCTTGTTAGCATAACTTATGCGGACGGATGGGGGGCGAGCTTCTACTGATTGCGTTACCTGACTTTTTCAAGAACCGTGAGCGTGGTTTTTTGACGGCGAGCTTTTTAGACTGTTTTTTATCAAGGAAGCCGGACTCACTTAGCGTTAACATCGCTTAACTTGAGTTAAATTTGATAGGTTTTGTGTCGCGCGCCGAATGTGTAAGTAAGATTTGTTACGTAATGAATAACGAATATGAGATTTTGATGTAATAGAAACTCACGAGTTTAGAGGCATCTTGCTTGAAAATAGTTATACCGTGGGAGAGCCATGCTTCGGCACGAGTGGGCCGGTTCGACTGGAGTGATACCACGGCCTCACAGAAAACCAGTGTTAAGCAAATCTTTCGTTGCCCTTCACTGAGTGAGTGAGGTTACCGGAGCCCCGAATCACCCCTGACTCGAGCAGGAGGGACTCCAAGGGCAGCAACGCACTTGTGACTTTTGAGTTGCAGGTGTCCATGGGCTACGGTAGTTGCTTACAATAAAAAAAAAGATTCTCACTAAAAGATATTGTTGAGAGTCTTACTAAGTACTTTTAATAAATACGGGCCTGTTGGTCTAGTGGTTAGTGACCCTGACTGCTTAGCCAGAAGTCGTGGGTTCGATTTCCACCTAGGACAAATATTGTGTGATAAGCACGGTCATTTGTTCTGTGTCTGGGTGTATTTTATCTATAATATGTATATATTTTAAAAATATATAAGTATGTCTATTAGCAGTCTGGTTACCATAGCACAGGCTCTGCCTAGTTTGGGATCAGATGGCCGTGTGTGAGATGTGTGAGATTATTATTATTATTATTGAATATAAATGCGGAACGTTAGATAAATATTTGTTACGCTATCAAGCTGCATGTAATTTGACACAAAGATAGATTTCTGTTTTTCTTCGAATAGTGATAAGAATACGATGTGACACGGTGACACTTCGTATTCTTACTTCGTCACTACATGAACAAGTGGATCATCATGTAACGACGTTCGGTGTTGCGATTGGCCCGCACTGAAATCTTTACCAATCGCAACACTGAACGCGATCGCCGTCGAGAGGGACTTGATGTGAAATAAACTCACACTAGGACCTCTGACTGTTGCTGGTTATTCCGAGCTCTCGAACAAGACCATATTAATAACTCTTTATATGAGATTAACATTCAAAGCGGGGTCTTGTTAGGTACATAGCAAATAAACTCAGAGAACAGGTTTTTTAAAAATTAATTATGAACTAATTTATTTAAATTAAAGTATTGTTTAATATCCGATATAAATTTTATTTAGTTACAGTATTTGTTTTTCTATAATTTGTTTATAAAACTCGACTGTTTAGTTAGTTCAAGTTAAAAATTTTAGAACAGAGAAATATTTGAAGTAGATATACTTACTGATTTTTTTTTGGCAAAAGTTAATTTTATTTAAGTTACTTTACTTTATACTAATGGGTGATATTATTAGTAAATTGTAAAACCTGAGAAAGAAAATACTTATTCTCATTCTTTTTCAGTAGACTTCTTTAGCTATTTACCTTTACAACTCTTGTTAATAAGGGATCAAAATTTAAAAGTAAAACCATGATTATAACCAAATATATATATAGGTAGTAAAACCTATTACCCGCCTTTTCAATACCCAGCTCATCCCTAAGGGGAATACTGCATTTTTCTTGATAAAAAGTACCCCCATACCAAATTTTATGAAAATTGATCAAGCCATTTAAGCATGAAGACGTAACAAACATACAAACACCTTTATAATATTAACGTGATTATTATTTAATTTATGTTTTACTGAAATTGTAATGTATATTACTAATGTATGAAAACTTTTGCAGTTCAAGATACAGGTCAAGTTGTATGTCGCGAGAATTTGAAGCTTTGATATTTGATGGGTATTTCTTTAAAATACATTCATTTTCACTTGATTATATTGAATAACATAGCGGATGCAGAGCAACGTAAATTTAAGAATTTAGAATTTTTGACCTACTTACAGGTCAAAAATTCTAAATTCTTAAATTTACGTTGCTCTGCATCCGCTATGTTATGGTAACAAAAATAAAACTTTTCTATTCCACGGTTTTTATAATTCTACACAAATTATAAATAGTACATTAGTCATCGCCGCCCGTCGTTTTTGTTGATTTATTTAAACGTTTGTATCAAACGGCGCGCGCGCAGCCCTTTGATACAATTCCCATATAATTTGTATTCATATACCAATAACTCGGAAAGTTAAAAATGAACCTTAAAGGCGACAGATTACAGTTGTTTATTGTATAAAGTTTTCAAAGAGCAAGTGTCAAATAAATCATCGACCGATTATTTCTATAAATCGTAACTCGATTAAGTTATAATCGATCGTCGTTTGTGGCGAGTATTTGTGGTTAATACACATTATAAAAGGCTATTTATTTTACGTCTGTAGTTTTTTTTTTTAATAACTGTGTTGACAAATTACAACGGTGTCAATAAGAGAGCCATGATTCGATTTATGGGTTCATTATTTTGTAAGTAATCCAAGGAACTTACAGAATCATTCTGGATACTTCTGGAAACTATTTTGTTTTTAAATATTTTTAAATTCATAATATATTTTTTTCCATTTACCCAAATTTAATTCACTAAACTAGCTAAGTGGTAACCGAATAGGGTAAGACATTACAAAGTTAAGCAATCCTAGCCAGGTCAGTCTATGGATGGGTAGCCATTCCTAACACATTGAGACCACGTTACGCTTGGTCACAGTTGCTATAGGAACATCTGAGGCAATCGTTACAGCTAGCTGAATAAATAAAAAGTCCGATCACAGTCTTTCTACAGAACTTCGAAATCGATTAGTAACAGTCGATCCGCATACAAAATCGAAGTTCAGCCTTATCGTAGTAGACTTAAAAGGCAAACCCAACCTAGTTTGGAAAAAAGTCTAGAAGGAAGACTTCACTGAACTATCATTCTTAGTTTCTAAGATTATTATGTGACCTGTTTTTTTGCACTCGAGTATAATATGTAAACATATTTTAAGCAAATTATAATACCTATACAGTAGATGAAGGGCAGAGAAGTAAATTTTTAATCAATTTTGGTTATAAGTACCCAAAAAGGGCTACAGTTTACCTGTCACAGTACGTAAAGTCTACACAATGACAGTTTAAGTTACACTGGTCAGTGATCTAAAACAAAACATCTAAAACTTAATAAATAATGGTCTAAATCCGGGTCATAAGGGTGCTCCCTAGCATTATTTATAACGTGGGATCAAAATGCAGCTGTCGATATGTGACCATATAGTACACCTCTGTATACCCTCTCTGCCTTAAATTAATGTGACGTAAAAGTGTTTTTTTTTTGTTTCATATTTTTTAATACAAACGTCTTATTTTAGGTAAGCACTATACTAAGGCACAGATTTTTTTTCTTTAAAAGGCAACTAGGCACAAATCCTGTGTTGCGGGAAACTTTACACACATACTTGAAACGGACACAAAGGCCACCCAGACTAAGAACAATAATTTGTGGATCACACAAAGTGTTGTTCCATGTAGGGATGGAACCGCTTAAACCATTACGCTATCCGTGCAGTCATGTTCGTGTTCATCACAAAATTATTTGATATGTGTGTGAATCGAACCCACGACCAGGCGTGTCCGACCCGCAGTTTCTCAGCAGTCAGTATCACTAACCAGTAGACCGTCAGTCAAAGCCATCTTAAATGACGTCACATAACTTCAATCAACTCTTCGGACCATCTATTGCACGGATGGCGTAGTGGTTTAAGCGGTCGCCACGCCACTTCCTACTACGCCGAGTATTGTGGGTTCAAACCCCACATGGGACAACACTTTGTGTGATCCACAAATTGTTGTTCTGAGTCTGGGTGTTCTTTGTGTCCGTTTCATGTATGTTTGTAAAGTCCCCCGCGACACAGGATATATTCCTAATGCGGGAGTTGTCTTTAAAAAAAAAAAAATCTCAACGGAACACCGTACTACGTCACAAGTCATGTCAAATGACGTCATTGACAATTACACAAGTCAACAGCCAAGAACAGTAGGGACATCCAGCTGAATGAGTGGCTAATGTTGCCGTGCCGACATGCGAGCCCGCTGTCACGCATATAACGAAAACGATACTAAACAGGTCACGTGAGCCACAACCCACTATGTTTAGAGGTTGTCTTCGTGGCACTAGGCACGGAAGACGTGTCGATGATCTGTGGAACAGCTGTTTTTATACACACGCTTGTTTACACCTAGGGGGTAGACAGAGTTGAATTAAACGATCATTTTTTGCTGATTGTAATTTTAGTCCTACTTACGTATTAGAGGCAAGCCTATTGCGTTAACTGGACACATATAAATATATGTTTATTTATGAAATCCTAAATAAACAAACAAATATATTTCAATATACGAGTTCATATAAGTATATATGTATTTATATCAGTTGTCTAGTACCCATAGTACAAGCTCTGCTTAGTTTGGGACTAGATGACGTTTCGCGTAATTAATAATATAATATAATGGGAGCAAACTACGCAGGACAACAGCACTGCAAAGAAAAGAAAAAAAGGAATAGTTGACACAAACCCTTTACCAACCCGTCTGGCCAGCGTGGTAGGTATAGTTGGCCAAAACCTCCTTTCTAATCAGAGGCCTACATATGTATATCCAGCAGTGGACTATATGTTGTCGATGTGTAATGCGATGTGAATAATATAATATTCTTATATAATATCTTAAAATCACTTAATTTTAGCCAATTTTTATATCACAACAGACCAACAACCTTAAATAACCTTTGTCCCGATTTAAATCGTTTAAACTTTGAACAAAACAAAGTGTAACCAGTTCACATATTTATGAGTAATTTCTACGAAATACTTTAACGAACATTTAATAGGGGCTTCTTAAACTCTTTCCGAGGGTAATTTGTTAGGAACTTGGTTTTATCTTTTTTGTAATCTTCTTTCTATTTT